CACCAGAAGAACATGCAGAGTCAATGCAGAAAGATGCCAGTTATTTCTAAATATGACAGAAATTATAACATAAATAAATTAGAAAACTACAAGCCATAGAAGCAGAAGAATAAAAAAAATCTAAAGCAAAACTAGGAAACTATTTTATGGGGCATATCAGGTATTTCTTGACCTATTTATGAAACCATATCACAAGCACGATCTAATCATTGTATACAATATACAAAATGCCTGCAAAAATAAAATAACCTATATATATAAATATGTAAAATAAATGTTACAGTAACATTTTCACTTTTTTGCAGTAAAAAAGAACAGTAACTATTTTTGTGCATATTCCCAAAGATAAACAGATAAAACTTTTCTTAACTCAGGTTGAATCTGAAGATGATCTGACTTAATCAGTCTGTCAGACAGTTGACTCTTAAAATCCACGTCCATCTGTTACCTGCTTGACTTGACAACATTTTTAATTAGAATGACACACATTGATAATATGCTTTATTTCTGCAAGCATACACTTAGGTATACATTTAAAATGGATTAAAACTATCTAATTGGTTTATATGGATTACATTTTATGGAAATATGCAAGCAATCCAGCAGACAGAAGAAGTAAAATGATCATCACTAGTAGCAACAGCCAAACACTTTTGCAGCTCCCAGCAGAAGTCTTTAACCTTCTGCTCTGTCACAGGTGGTGAAATTAGTTCCTGTTTGTTCTGTCAGTGCCTCCATTTCAACCCCACTGAACATGTGAGGTAGGATAAGTCTGACTGTGACTGAAGATGTTCATTTGGAACTGTTCAGGGACTATAAAGGTGAGGTGGCAGACATTGAGACAGCAGGATTTATTCTTTAAAAAAATGGCAGGTGGGTAACCTTCAGTACCTGTCAAGTGCAGACGTTTACACGCTTCAAACACAGAGCAGGTGTTGGGAATGATGGGTTACATGATGAGCAGAAGAAAAACAACAATGCTGAGTGCAGAAATACTGCAGATTTTCCTGTCTGGATAATTTAGCTCTCAGAGCTTCATTGGTTTTCCTGTGAGAAATCACTTTATTCAGTCTTCTGTACTGTGGTGCTTCTCTAATCTGTGGAGACAGACTCCAAACCAGCAGATTATCAATCCCCCTGCCACCCTGCCTCCCCTTCAGGCTTAGTGAAAGTTGCATATCTCTGACTGGACCTCTGTGTTTCAACTGAACTAAGAATGAGGTGAACTCAGGCTTGTTCCTGTCCGGACGATCTAAGATCCTGTTTGCACAGAGCAGGTTTTTAGTGGATCTATAACCTTTTTGTTTGTGATTCCTGCTCCTTGTTATAATACGTTTCCAGAGATCAGAGCCTCTCACACTGATGCTTTTTGAAACCAGGCTTTGGAGTGAAACTTTGTGGGGACACGCCCCAAAGGGGAGTGAATTACTCAGAGCACATGTGCAGGATTTGTTTTACCAATGCACAGTCGAGTAGCAGGAAAAAACATGGTGGATAGCATTACAATGTGTTGTGCTACTTAACCTGTTCATCTTAACATATCTTCTAAAACAGGATATGTATTTTACAGGAGCACTTGGTTCAACTCATTTTGTGTTTAATGTAGACACTCAACAGACTCATGAGGTGAAGAATAGTTAAAATGACAGCACCACATAGTGGCCTGGCATGACAACTGCAGCACATTCAAAATGACTTGTAGTTGCTGTATGAAGGTAAAACTTTTTTCTCTGATCAGCATTCAAAAATATCTGCAGTGAACACAACCTAAATAGATGCATTTCCAGTAAAAATAAAATTGACAAATTTGACATTTCAAAAAAATTTTGCTTAATAGGGCTGCGACAGACTGGTGACCTGTCCAGGGTGACCCCGCCTCTCGCCTGGAACACAGCTGGAGATAGGCACCAGCACCTCCCGACCCCGTTAGGGAGAAGGGTGACCAGAAAACGGATGGATGGATGGATGGATAGAAACAGGGCAATTTCAAAACGTCTTGTTCAATAAAACACTTTGGCATAAGAATGAGGGGTGGAGGAGGGCTGGTCATATTCAAATGACCATATTTCAATATGGCCATAAACTTATTCACGTGTGATCTTAATTGTGTATTTTTTTTGTGGAAACTGCGAAATTGCTAGTGTTGCATACATTTCTAACAGAAATACACCTCTTGTATATACTTAGGTCTGCCTGTGAGTGTTTTATGACAAGAGTTTCAGATTAGATGCACACTGGAGGATCCTGAAGTTTCTCCTGCTGTTGGTGAGTCTCTAAGCCAAGCCGTTATACCGCGCCACCGGGCATCGGCCATCGCTGCCACAGGGAAGCTGTGGCTACAATCTAGTAGCTTGCCACTTTTGGTGAGTGAATGAAAATGAGTGATTTCATGTAAAGTGTCTTGACTGTCCAGAAAAGTGCTTTATAAGTCTGATGTTAGATATATTCATATACAAGTCTCTATATCTTGCAGAAAAGTTACTTGTAAGTCAGTTTTGTCTTATTTCAAGTTATGTTTGCACTTGAAACATAACTTGACCAAAATTACTTGGTAAAATTTTGTGTTTTTGCAGTGAACTTTATAATTTTCGAATATTTAAAAAATATGCCATACCAACATATTCAGTTTTAAAAGTACTCAATTACATTACAGAAAAGGCCCTTCATGCTGTATTCTGCCTGAACGCAGTGTACTTGTTGGGTCTATTTAGAATGAATTGCATTGTGGGTAACCTGGTTTGGATGATCAGAACTGTGAGTAATGGGAGCAGAAGCTGGAGAATGGTTCCAGCCCAGTAAAACATGTTTACACAAAGTCAAGGTCAATTGTTACTTGCCATGGCGTGGCCTGGGGAGTCTCATTAAATTCAGCCAGGTTGGTGTGATTGTTTCCACTGAGCTTTATTGAGTTTGAGTTGATGTGCTTGTGCAGAACACTTGCAGTCATGCAGTCAGCCGGTCCTTCGCTCTTTTCTTCCTGCTTGATAATCAACCACATCTAAACAGAGAATCTTTATGTGATTTTGCTGCTGGATCCTTGAAAATCAAATGCTGAAGTTCAACAAAAAAAAAAAACATTGTGTTCTATTTTTTACATGAATATTATCATATAGGGTCAAGGTTGCCTAAAACATGCATAAATTAATTTGACAGTTTCTCTCTTCCAACTTGAGGATAATGTGCCTGTCTTTCATAAATGTGCAACAAGCACAGTAGCATTAACTTTGTGGAGAATTGACTGATGACAGACAGCAGATTTATAATAATGTTGAAACAGGAAGTGAGGCTTTACATGATGAAAAGTGAATTCCTGACACCAAGGAATCCACAAACCTTGGAAACTTGGAGGAAGTTCTTCTGGGTGCCAATGGGAGAAAAGGTTTGGGTTTTACTGGGGATTGTTTCACTCACAGTAATAATCAAGTAAAACCTAAACGATTCCCTGCTCCCACATCCTTTACCAATACTCTCAACTACACATAGTAAACACCCATAAAGCCCCCAATAATAGTAACTGGGTTGAAAGCTTTATTTCAGTTTAAACAATAGCATATACATTCGTATAATCAAAAATATCTATGATATAAAAGAAAAATACTGAGATGATTATGAGTTATGGCAACATTTATTTCCCCTTTTGGAAAAATAACAAAGAGCCGTTTAAAGACTTTGATGAATGTAACTTATAACCACTCCAGGGAAAAGGTGTTCATGGACAGCTTCACTTGTCCGAAGGCGAGTCCACGGCCGTGTTCTGCTGCGTTTAAAGACTTTGTTGAATGTAACTTGCTAGCAAGCGCATTTGATTTCACATCAATAACATCTTTCAGATGTTACACGAGATATTTTTTTAAATATGTTTTCATATATTTTCTATTGACAAATGCCTCCATATTGTCAAATGTGTACATCTTTTATTTTTATTGTACATGAAAGGTGTACAATAAACCTTTTGTGTCAGTATAAAGCCGTCTGTTTCACAATGAGGCTCCACACATTGTGAGTCTCTAAGCCAAGCCGTTATACCGCTTGGATTTATTTCTTAGACTTCTGCATGATGCAAGAATTTAGCTGATTTCTGTCAGAACAAAATCACAGACCAACTATATCAGTTCTTTTGATTTTCATCCCTAATACTGACTTTATTTTTATTAAACCCAGACCGAAGCATGTCACAGACATATTTCTATTACAATGTTTTTGCACAATGTTTTCTTATTTGCCATTTTCTCTCTAAATTAGCTGCGGAGGAAAACCTGTTTGTTGACTGCCTTACTGATATTGCTGTTACATTTAAATTCTACACAAGTTGACATAATCAAAAATTTCTGATTTTCATTTCCACACTTTTGCAGTTCACCCTGAGGTTCATCACCCTGTCAGTTCTGTAACATTTTTACAACACAGGGAAACAGTTTGTTGAAATTGTCATTATGTCGTGTCAGAATAGTATGAGACTATATTGTCTCACAGCGACTTCTGTGAAAAAAAATCACCCTCTTCTGTCTTCTTCCAGCTCTAATTTACAGCCACAGATGATGGCAGATTATATTTTTCCTGTAATGGCAGGTTTTTTAGCAATAGTACATGAGGATGATTGACAGAGCTAAATCCTTCTGATTGGTTGTTATTGATCCTCCTTCTCAGGGAGGAGGAAGAGACTGATCTGCTCTTTGATTATCTGTCTCACACCAAACTGTCAAACATTTTTATATATGCAGAAATGAAAGTTATGCTACAGACAAATATATTTAAAGTTGCGCTTTTTGATATTTTTTACCACCCAACTTCAGTCCATGATGCCTGAAGGTGAGTGGGAGCTTTTGGAGCAGGTGAGACAGTGATGGAGAGAGGGGAGGAGGAGGTCTCTCTCTCTCTCTCTCTCTCTCTCTCTCTCTCTCTCTCTCTCTCTCTCTCTCTCTCTCTCTCTCTCTCTCTCTCTCTCTGTCTCCCTCCCAACAGCAGCAGCTGCATCAGGGCGGAATGAGATCAGTCTGTTGGTTGCGCGTCCTGTGCGCCTGACATGAGCGCGGTGTGCGAGAGTTACCACTCCAGGGAAAAGGTGTTCGTGGACAGCTTCACGTGTCCGAAGGCGGGGGGCGAGTCCACGGCGGTGTTCTGCTGCGGCTTCAGTGACTTGAAGTACTGCTGCGATGACCCGAACAGCTTCTTCCCCTACGAGTATGGATACATGTGGTGGCTGAGGTGAGGCGTCACAGTGACTGGCTGCGCAGAGGTGGAACTCAGTTCGGGTTCAGTTCGGGATCAAACTGCCTGTTGCTCAGACTGAACTGAAACGTGATGCTGGCATTTAGCCTGCAAAGTTTCCGTGCTGTGAGGAATTTGCATGTTTTGTTGTTTTGTGTCAGATTATAACAGTAACTGCTTCTGAATAAAAACGCTCCAACAATGAAGCGCAAATGTCAGCAGGCTCCTGCTTAATGTCAGCAGGAGCTGGTGAGTTTATGAAAGCTTTAATCATGAACTGATGATTTAAATGAACAGTCTGTGCTCAGATCTTTCACTGTGTCCAAGGGCGTAAATCCCATCTCATTATTGGGGGGCCATGAACAGGGACATTTTTTTAAGAGTAATCTTGTTCAAATGTAATGTGGTTTTAAAATGTTTTATTGTGTTCAAGCTGCACCACTAAAACTGACTTGAAAGTAGCAATAAATAACAAAATGTTTTTCTCAGTAAACAACCAGTTTAGACCCATAGAAGTCAAACTAAGATTCAAATGTTTAGATATGATTTTGGTTCAGCGTCACAGATCTGATCTCTGCTAAACCTTTACGAAAACTTAAGGCTCTGACCAAAAAGTTTTAATAAGTATCTCCACTTACTAAAACTCCTCATAAATATTGATTTACTGAAGTGGTTCTCAATGCAAGTCATGTGATATTAAATTATAACTTAAGTTGCTCTAAACAATTATTTCTTTCTTTTTATTTTGGGGGGATTCATGTCCTTGGATGGCTGAGAACCTATAAATATGTCTGTATATCTACTGTAGATGCTGACATTAATGTTAGAGACTCAGTGCTGCTGCTTCATGAGATGCTATTTGCTTTGTGAAATTTTAGGCAGGATCGGGGGTGATCGGTGATAAATAATGACAACATGATGTTCTGCTAGAATAAATGTGTCCTTTTATTCCGCCACAGATTACAGCAAATTCATTCACACAACAAACAATACGTAATGCTTAAATTCTTTCAATCTGCTCTTACCATGACACAGTGAACTGGAGAGCTACAGCATCAAGTAACTGGGTGACCGAACATAACCCACAGCAGACTCTACTGAACAATGGGACTTTTCTGCCTTTATACTCATTACCAAAAAACCTCGAATGAAAGAAGAGAATGGCCATTTCCCCTTTCCCAGACGGGTTAGCCAATCAGAATGTTACTTCCCTGCCCATGACTTGGCCATAAGCAGAACAGGAGGTTTCACTCAACATCCTGTTGTCCATGACTCGACCCCTTGTTGTCCATGAGCTCCAGAGGTGACGACCATGAGCATTATCAATTAGCATACAGTAACCAGTTCCTTTGAAATGTGTTGAAAATGTAAAGAGACTGCAGAGTCTTTCTAGTGGTCTGTTTTTATAACTCTGAAGACATTTCAGAGTTATAAAAACTCAGAGTTTCAGAGTCGGATCCATTAAATCCATTGCATTAAAGTTTTCTGTGCCTTAAGATCCACGTAATTCTTCAAAATCCACATGTTAAAGTCACTTTTGAAGTTAGAATTAGTCCTTGAAGGTTAGACTCCATGAAATGTCATGATTATTGCCAGATTGTAAAAACATTCCTAAAAACGTGTTATTTATTTTAGAAGTAATTCGTGTTGCTATTTCATTCCACACCTGCAGGCCACACGGACAGAAGCAGCCTTGGATCAATCCAGGTGTCTGCTTCTACTCTGCCAGAGGTGGAGCTGAGCTGTGTGTCGCTCTGTCGCTAAAACATATTTGCTGAAAATGGTATATGAGCTGAGTAGTCGCTGAGTACATTTGTTTTTATATGTTTATGAAATGAATATGCTGCTTTAGTCCCAGCCTGCCTGTGCAACAGCTCTGAGGTCCAGGAGAATTACTGGCTCTGGACTGTGTATGCTGGCCACTACGCATCGTTATGTGGCATTATGTGTAATGAGCTCAATGCTGCGCTCTAGACGCTAATGCTGCATAATGTATATCCTGGGAAGCACACCAGAATCTCAATACATTTTTGTGAGAGCAGATATTTCAGCTCTGTTTTTACTGAATGATAGTTGCTCTCAGCTGGTCGGTATGAGAGCATGTGTGTGTGTGTGTGTGTGTGGGTGTGTGTGTGTGTGTGTGTGTGTGTGGGTGTGGGGTGTGTGTGTGTGTGTGTGTGTGTGTGTGTGTGTGTGTGTGTGCGTGCGTGCGTGCGTGCGTGCGTGCATGCATGCGTGCGTGCGTGCATGCGTGTGTGTGTGTGTGTGTTTATAAAACCAACAGAACCAGCACTTTCGGTCCAAATCATCCAGCATGTTTTTAATGGACACACTAATTTGAATCTGACATCCAGCTCTGAGTCTCTGTGTGGAAACTGGACCGTGTTTCCAGGTTGGCTAATTTTCTTGACTTAATTTTCATTCTTGTATTTGCAGAATATAAAGGTAATCACGTGAAATGATCTAATAAAAGATAAGCAGGCTTTATTTTTCTCGTCACAGAACAGATTCTGTCTTATCACTGCTACACACTCAAAAAAGTTGTCAGCTTTAATTGCTCGACACACCTGCAGTTTTTATTTTGCAAAATTGGAAAAGAGGTGCAATACTGTCTTTCCTGCAGAAAGCCAAAATCCTGCAGCTGCAGGTGGAGATAAAGAAATCTTCTAGTCTCGCTGTGTTGTTCTCTGCTCTAAGCTTCCTTCTGCTGTGTCCTGCAGCCTCGGAGCTCTTGTGGGTCTCTCCGTTGCAGCTGTGGTCCTGCTTGCTTTCGTCATCACTCTGTGCGTCCTCTGCTACCTGTTTGTCACCACCAAACCCAGAGGTCTGGACAGCGGACTGCCCCTTCGAGCACCAGGTACTGTCTCCAGATGCAGCGTCTGGGAGGGACCCAGTCTACTAAAACATTGATATGATTTAAATTATTCAGCAGTCCACTGACAATAGTGTTGGGGGGGCGAAAAAAGATGGACTGGGCTGTAAATGTATTTTCAACATCTTAAACTTAATATACAGAATAATGTCAATAGTTTTAGCCTGTCTGTCTTCAAACACTTGACATTAAGTGTTGCCCCACAGCGTTCATTCCTCTGGGGTTTAAGTAATCTTGGGAAGAATTCAGTGGAGTTTATAGGGCTGTAAAGGATAATCTCTGTGTGATAACCCTCTTACCCATGGAATATGCTTCAAATTATGTTTCAAACTAAATTTACCTAAGTTTCAGAAGTGAAATGCTTTAAACATGTTTTCAGTTTAGAATAGGTGAGTGGGAAGTGATTGAAATTCTAACAATAAGCCTATTGTGACAAAGTCAAATTAAATTCAGGCAGCATCAACCAAGTAGGAAAAATATTCCAAGTTTGAGTCTCATTTGAGGCATCACTGCCCGGGAGGCTTTTCTCTGGGCTCCTTCGTTTCCAAACTCACATGCATGACAGGTTTAGTGGTTGGTGTGCACGACCGTGACAATATATCATAGTGTTAGCATTAGTGCTGGAACCTCTTTGACCCTGGAAAGAATGAAGCAGGAACAGGAAGTAAATGACTGGCTGCTGGGTCCAGATTTACATGAATCAATCAAACTAAGAATTCTTGAGTATGAATTTTGTCATCCAGCTTTATATAAAAATTAAAAGGGGTTGTTGCCCATTTTTAGAGTTTCCAGACTCTGAAAATGTTTGGATTAGCTGACTTGGCAGCTTGAGGGATTGATGTATCTTTCTGTAACCAGCTGGCCAAAGATAAACTTTTGTACATTTGACCAGGGATGACCCATGGTTTTAAGAGACCTTAAACAGATGTTAGATGCATTTCCATTCTCCATAGAATGTGCAAATTAAATCTATGACAATAAATTTGCTCAGTGGAGGCATGCTACTTTTGAAAAAAACTCAAGATTTTCAATAAAAGTTTTTACACTACAATGAGTTGGTTTTTCAGTCGTATCACATTTCAGAAAGGTTGCAAAGGAAACACTTTTTTCACATCATATTATCAACAACTGGAAGTTACTACTGGCAAAAACGACAAAGAAGACAACAGGAAGTTGTAGCAGGATGATGTTTTTTCTCAGACAATGTGCAGCTGGAGCTTCACCAGAGCTCTCACAGCATCACACAGTTTATAAAACGTTGATGTCATCCGGATATGTTGAATCTGCATCTCCTCTGTAAAATAGCCAACTATGGCATTCCAGAACACAACCGCTGCCAGGTAGGCAGAGCTTGGAGCTCCAACACCTGAATTAGATGCTGAAGTTTCCTCTGATTGGCTGATAGACAGGGATCGCTATTGTATAATGAATAGATCTCATGTAACTATTTATATCCGTCGCTGCCATGACTTTTAATGACTTATCACATGAGCGAGCTTATTCACATAAATATAATACATTTTATTTATAATGCCCTTTATTCAGATCAAAATCTTATAGGGCACATTACTGGATTGTAGCTACAGTTGCCCTGGGCAGGCAAGGTGCCCAGAGACTGAACCGGCATGCCACTCTGTGCAGCTCAAACTCCTACAGCCTTCGCCACCATCACGCTGTGTATTACTTTGTATATTGTTTGATATGTACACATTGACGTTTAACTTTGCCAGAAGATTCCTGGCACTTTTATTTTAAATGAAAATGAAATCAAACGGCCTGGAGTGCCTATCAGCCATAATCAGGGCTCCACAACACCACCTTGATTCATGAAGGCTCACATCTGTTTGGGTCAGTTTCTGTAGCAGCTGTTAAAGTAATTTGTCTGATGTTCATTTATTTGGGTTTCAAATTTTATAGTTTTCTTATTAGCTTATCAATATGTAGTTCAAGTGAACTTTTAATTAGGGGCTATTCACCCACCTGCTTGAGTAGCAGGGAAGAGAGTGTGACCGCTTCACTTATTGCAATTATTTTTAGTTTAATTGTGTCTTGCACATAATTTATCTAAGTTGTATGTTTTTATGTTGTAAAAAATAATGAAAGGTATGTTTTAATCTCAGTGTCTATTTTTTAACCAGCAGCGTTTTGTTCCTCCTCTGAATTTGCTGCAGTACCAGTTCAGATAAAAACAGCATCAGAAATCAGCAGCGGATAAAGATGAATTACTAGAACATCAAAGAAAACTCTTCATTCAGTTACGTTAGCTATACATTGTGTTTGTATCTAATAAATGTCATAACCCGCTGCCTCAATACAATAACAGAGATAGGACAATGCATCACAATGAACACATTCAAAATATAAATCACAGCTCAGGAAATGAGGATTGTAACTATATGCTGTACATAATGAGGATACATCACAATGCCATCCATCTTAGCAATCTTTATCTTCTGGAAGTGAGGTCTGATGGGCTTCAGTTCCAGAAGAAACAGCCCATCAGCCTCTCAATCCTGAAAGCAAAAACATTATTTACTGAAAATAGCCCATGCTTCCATGGAACGAGTTTTCTCACAGCCTCCCTTTTACTGGAGGCTGTTTCAGAATCACAGCTGTTTCCTTAGAGGACGCTGCAGTGAAATGGAAGGAGTTCATTACCTGGATGAGTTGCACATTACTGATAGAGCAGAGCAGTCACCACAAAGTTGCTCCACAAACTGCAAGAGAAATTTCAAAGCTTTATTCTCTCTTTATTGAGAGAAAATGATCCTAACTTTCCCTTTATTTGGAAACGGCAACAATGCTCCCTTATCAAACATAAATAAATGTGTGAAGGAGCAGAGATCACAACCTCATTTTAGTTACAGGGAGCTACAGATGCTACAGATGTCATTTTATTGGAATAGAAAGAACAAAATGTGAAAGTGAAACAGGCAAGTCTGACAGCACAAAGTGTCTTTGTTGTGGAGCAGTCGATGTGTTGGAACAAAAGGTCCACTGAAAGAAGATTGGCTTCTTGAAGGAGAATGGCATTTGTTTGTGTACTGGATACATCAGTGGTGATTGAAGAAAATGAATTCCCATTGAAAAACCTGGTTCTCAACACCCAACAGTGTTACTCTTTCATCCAGAGGAAAACAAAGACAGCTATGAGTTTATGGATATGGACACAAAGATTGTAGAAAAAAACTCGTCTGTGTAAAGCAGCTTAAAGTGGCAGTATTATGTAAAATAAATGTTTTAAGCTTTACATTATTTTATGTTATTCCTTCATCAAAAACATTCCTGGAGTGTTGTCTTGATTCTGACATCCATGTTTGAGAAATATTTTAATCTCCATGGCGACCATTCAGTTGTTCAAAATGTCTGGGTGGACCTAGCCCTCTCAGTGAAACGCAGGTAAAGACATTGTTAAAGGGTTACTCCAGGAGCCATCTTGTGATAATTTTCTGAAGAGGGAGTTTTATAACGAGCAGGATTTCTTAAAGAGACAGAGGCTCTTTGTTAAATTACAAAGACAAATTTCTTAGATATCAGTAGCATTTTTTTAAACAACTGAAGTCATTTGATTGTGCTATAAAATGGCATTATGTGCCTGGAAATAACAATGCTGCCCCTTTAATAGGGCCTGGCTATTAGTATTGCAATCAGCCCAACGTTGTCCCCATGTTGGGCTGGATTTGCCATGAGGAAATGTACAACAGATGAATGAATGAGTTGAGTACAAAATCTGTGGGTAATTTCTTTCTTTCTACATGGATGTTTGTTTGGTATTTGTGGCTCCTAACAAAGTGTGATTCTTGATGTATAGTCATCTCAGACCATGAGTCGCTCTATGAAACTACCCTCTACAGTCTGTCTGTGGCGCCTTTTTGCTCTCAGAATAGGTTTTTTTGAAATATGTTTCATCTGAAGGTAAATTCTTTGTAGCAGTTCATCATATCCCAGGAGTGTCATCTTTGGCATTATGGGACACTTTGAACATCTGTGGGGGTCATAACAATTTCATATAACAAAAAAGGAACATCTTAAACTATCCAAAGAGCTTCTAAATGTGGATGAGTTATACCGTAGATCTCTGACAGCAGAACTTTCCACAAAATACCCATCACTAAAACTGAATTTTATATTCTTTCTACACAACAAGCTTAATATATTGTATCAAAATGATAGCAAAAAAGGTAAGAAGACAGGTTGATTTCTTGCACATCAGTTAATATAAGTGAAACAAACAATCCCAATGATAAAACATGGGAAAGGAGGGGGCACAACACACTGATGATGCAAAAATCTCTAAAACAGAATAAATTCCTGTTTTAGAGATTTTTACAAATCAGTGAAAACAACAGTTCTGACTTGCCCACTGATGAGCTGAGAAAACATTTTCAGATCTCTGCAAATCCCTTGCAGATCATTTTAATGCTGATCATTTTAGTGAGCTTGAGGAAGATCTGAACTACAAAAATAGCATCAGCATTCTGAAGCATCCAAAGTAGGAAAGCACTCAGTCTGGATGGCCTTGCTATTGTCAGTGTGACCTCTATGGCTATATTCATCCATCAAGCAGTTTCATCTTTATTGTTCAAAAAAGGCAAAGATTTGCTTAGTTGTGGTTTTTAACCTCCGTATCTCTCTTCTTAACACTGACACATTCTTGTTCAGGTATTGGGATGTCATCTTCAGAAAGTATTCTCAATGATTATGTTCCCTGATCAGACAGGATTTAGAAAAGATTAATATTTTTTTAACATCAGACACCAGCATAACATTCTATATCACTCATCTACATCCAAAGACAAAAACCTGTGAGGTAATAATGTCATTTGATTGGTTGGAGTGAGACTGTATGCTTCTGTCTTCATCAGATGTGTAACAGCTGTTGTTCCTAAGCCTACCAACCACCCTGAGAAAAACAGGCATTGCAAGAAAACTTGAAATCAACCACAGCATACCACAGTGAAGAGAAAAATCACATCATTGATTGGGAAAGGGCCAAGATTATCTAAAGGGAAAACAACAAACATCATTGGATCCTGGAGGTGGTGGAGGTTAGGAAGCAAACCCACACAGCCACGGCCCGGGATGACGGACCTTCTAGCCTTCCTGCATCTGGAATGACATCGTCAAGCAAGAAGCCAGTTGAGCCTGCTGTTGAGCAGGCGGTGTTAGTTCGTCGTTATAGTGATGGGTTGATGCTGCCTCTGGAAACCTCTATGATGCCTCTTCAAGTTTTCTTCTTTCTGGTTTCTCAGACTGAGGAGCATACCATGGAAACATGTCAGATATGCCTGAAGAGACGAAGTAATTGGAGAGTTCAACAGCAAAAGAAACTTTAAGACATTCTTGATAAAAACTGTTTAACCTTAATTGCTGCCTCTGGCTTGGATGCAAAATGTTATCTTGGTCTCAGTTGGGTTTTAAGAAAATTATTTTATTTTGCAAAATGCTTGAATTGAACGTATGTGGGTCCCACTTTTTCAGTATCACAATAAGACTACTGGCTTTGAGCCATTTGTGTCCTGGACAAGCCTATCTCTTCCTCATTATGAATCGTATCTTGGTACATGTTCCTCACAGTAGGCCATTCAAGCTTAAATGGGTTAAGTTGTTTTGATAAATTTGTTGGAGAAGCAGCAATATGTCTTTCAGGCTAAATTCAGGCTCAAGTTTTCTTTTTTTTTTCTTTTTTTCCAGACGCCATCGTCAGTCAACAAGGAGCCGGAGTCAGCCGCAGCAGCGCCCCTGTTGGCTCACAAGGCCTCAGGAAACACTTTGTAAGAGGCAAGCTGGACTGTGACAACCAGCAGCCAGACCCTGACCGCCTTTTCCAGCGCTGTTTCATGGCCACTGTCACATCCATCAACGTGGAGAACCCGACATAGGACGACACTTTTTCAAAATTTCGGATTGGAGTTAATGTCTTTTTTCTTCTCTGCCCCTGTAGTTTAATATAAGTTGTTGCTTTTATCTTATCAACAAATACATTATTATTATATAATTCAACAGAACAAAATTGCAAGTGCAAAAACCTTATTGTGGCTCCCACCAGTGGGATATTTAATATTTGAGCTTTAATTTTGTAGCCTTTTAATTAGTTAACATTCAAATAAGTTTCTATTATATCCGTCTTAATACAAAAATTCAAAAAGGAAGCTATATTGCCCATAACAATGAACAAGAATCATTGGAATTCCAATGTAGACTTATTCTTGTTTAACAGCTCAGATTACCAGAACTAGACAGGCAGATGGAAAGCTGGTTCTCTAACAGGAGAAAAGTCAACGCTTGATTTTCTGGGATTGCTGTTTTTAAGCAATATATGATTTACTTCATGTCCTTAATTACTTTTACTTCCATTTAGAAAAAAACAATGTGAGAAGTGACGTCTGTTTAATTTTACACATTCTGCTCTTGAAATCCAGATCCAATTTGCTGAAAGCTGTCAGTATTCTTTGAGATCTGAATAGATTTTATAACCACAGTCCATTAGCACATCATGCTCGTCTTTTCTCTTGTATCATTTACACAGGTGCACATATTTAGCTCAACAGCACCCACATCAACACCATACTAATGTCGTGTGTGTATTATTCTTCTATTCTTAAGGATTCAGGAATAACAGTGTTGTATAGCCCTGGTATAAAAGAAGGACAACTTTACAAACTGAAGATGTCAAGATTAGGTTTTTGGTCATATTAAAAGAGATTCAATGTGAGGAAAATGAGAACTGAAAGCATATATTTTGTGCCTAATATCTCTAAAGCCCTAGAAAAAACACAACTTGCAGTTCGTTAGGGCACCTTGGGTTTCAAAAATACACTCATAAAGGTTAAGCACACAAATAGCTTGGTGGAATGAAATGAGTGAAACAATATTTGTCTATTGTGAGGATTAATAATATCAGATAAAATAAATAATAGGTGGCACCACCTCCACCTTGGACACAGGTGATGATGTTACCGTTCTATCCTTTTCTACACTATGTTGGCACAGCTGTTGAAACTGTGTGCCACATTATCACCAACTTCAATCCAAGTCTAAGTCAATTTCTATACGTTCTCTAGTGGAACAATTTATACGGTTCTCTCTCTTAACAATATTGGCAGGACTGATCCTCTTTTGCATCTTTGCAGGTTGTATTCACAGCCTGCAAATCAAACTTTTTGAAGGCAGTCTGACCAGCCCATTTTTGATCTTTTTCGATCTTGATCGAAAAAAATCTGTGTATGTATTACATATAGAGCACAAATAGAACACAGATACACTATGAAAATCCATATTTTTATGGCATCTGCAGCCTGAACCGTTATGTTTTTAATCCCACTTTTACGTCATTAACATGAGACATTCTGAAGAAGCCAGATGCTGTAAATTTGGACCTTAGCAATGTTTAATGTTTAATGTATGTGTATCAAGTTTCTGCGTTAGTCAGTCAAACTTTTATTTCAAAACAGAAAGTAACTAAAGTATTCAGTTTTACTAGACATGTAGTTTAATGATATGTGGTAAAGACCCCCCTTATGTGTTTTTGTTAAATGTTAAGCATTTGTTACACTCTCAGCTCAGTCTAAGTGCCAGCCAAGCAGACCATTTTTTATTCTGCTGATATTAAAGTGGTTGCTGAAAAGTGAAGGAAAAATATGAAGCAAACATTCCATTGCCAATTCTTAGAAGCATCACCAATCCTGCTGAAAAGTTCTGCTGAGAAAACCCATTTACACACTAATCAAATTAGAAACCAGTTAAAATAGAACCTGGAAAGCTCACAATGTTCACTTGCAGAAAAAAACCCACAAAGTATTTAAAGAATTAAGTTTTATTTAAGCTTTAGCTGTCCCAGTTCTAAATGTGGACATAATCAGAATTGGACATATGAGTATCATTTGAGTGTCTTCACTGCTCATGGGCATTTCACCAAGGATATTAGAAAATATGGTAAGCAAAATACAGCAAACTGATTGAATCTGGGCCTTCAAAAATGAACACACTACAGATAAATTGAGCAACACAAAATTACGGGAATTTGATTCTTTTCAACTGGCTGTTTTCCCAAACGTTACCAGTTCACATCATTCAGACAAATGGTACTCTTCTTTATAGATAGGCCGATAGCAGTTAAGATTGAACTCACGCTGAGGAAAATGTAAATATTAATATTATGGCTGCTAAATATTTATCTGTGTGGCGTCTTGTTGTATAAGCTTATCACTGTTGCTCTTGTTCAGATAGGAGAATGTTTTTCGCGCCTTTTTAAACCTGAATGTATATTCACATTGTAGTTTTTGGCTGTTGAATCAAGCATAGAAAACTACTCACCAATAGAAGAATATGGTGGAATGAAGATAAGTGCCTCAATGTATTCTCTACATCTCTTTGCTGAGGATGCACATGGTTTTCAAACAGAAATTTGGTTCGTTGTTGTTGGCTTTTTGACCAAAGAACGTCAGGCGTCTATTCAGATCTCAGGAACTTGCGTCAATACCTAAAAACGAGCAGAAAATGTCTCCTGAACTTTGGCGATTGTCTGTTTTTAAGCTTGTCTGCTCATAAGCAAACAAGCTAGTACTGCTTTGTGAGCCTCCAACCATATTGTTAGCATTTGGCTCAAAGGAAAACTGCACCTATAAACAGAAATAGTACAAATCACTTCCAAATTAGTTTTTGTCTTTTGAACAAACATTTTAAGTAGTAATTATTACAATTTCATTAGCAAATAAGTTCTGTTTCATGTAGCACTTTATAGCACCATTTAGTTCCTTTGTGTTACCATTCTGCTCCTTTCTATTTTGATTTCATTTTTAACAGACAATTTTGGACCCACATCCTAAAAACAAAAATACACAAATCTCACATACTCTGTATTAAACATTTTTTCCATTCATTTTGGTTCTGACTCACAGAACCAATATCATCTGATATAAGACATTCAGAACTCTGGGCAACCTCAAAGAACCACATTTCCTCCCAGAATACTATGACTAGAATATAAAACGCTACCTAAATAACTTTTTGCCAAATAGCAGACAGGAAATGTTCCATCAGTGGGTACAAACTGATGGTTTGTCCTTCAGTAACTTCAACCTTTCACACAAACATGGGTCATGAAACGTGTCTCTGTAATTTGGATCCTTTTTGCCAAATGAGTTAAAATAGTGACTGTGAAAGCACTCAAGGGCCACCAAAATTCAAACCGTAAATGTAGTCCTTTCAGGCATTTTTTGGTGACACTTTATTTGAAGGGGTGTGCATGAGACTGACATGACACTGGCATAAATATGACTGTTATGAACATTGAGTCTTTATGAATGTTTGTTACCAATGTTTTTTTTGTTTTTCATTTGTTTTATTTCAGGCATCATGTTTTTTAAGCTTTAAATTTGGGCCTTGATATTGATATTGATCAGTGGAGCAGTTGGTAGAGCTGTTGCCTTGCAGCCCAGATTCCCGGCCCAGAGTCTTTCTGCATGGAGTTTGCATGTTCTCTCTGTATCTGGAGAGAACAGGAGTACTCAGTTCTCACCGGGTACTCCAGCTTCCTCCCACAGTCCAAAAACATGACTGTCAGGTCAGGTAAATTGGTCTCTCCAAATTCTCTTGCTATCATGTGAGTGTGTGTGTGTGACGGTTGTTTGTCCCGTCTGTCTCTGTGTTGCCCTGCAACAGACTGGCAACCTGTTCAGGGTGTACCCCGCCTCTCGCTTGGAACGTTAGCTTGAGATAAGCACCAGCACCCCTCTTGACCCCACTGGGGACCAGGGTGTTAGAACATGGATGGATATTGATCAGTAAATGCAAAAATTAAGACTCTACAATCCAGCTTTTATTACTACTGTAAGGTGTTTAAATGAACCACACAATGCACCACGCTGCCACATTGTGTGGTGCCACACTGTGGCAGAGATCGGAGCTCAGCTGGTTTATCCTTGTTGTCCCGTTGTGTTGTGCAGTCAGAGAGAAACTAATCTTGTGACACATGGATTCACCCGTTTTCCACTCCCATATGATTGCTGTGAAAAGGATCTGGGTGAATTTCAGAGCCAGCTGTCAATCTGATTCTCTCGTCTTGGAACAACTCAACAAACGCAGCTTTTAAGAACGTTCATGAATGTAAACATCTTTCAAGATAGTTAATGTTTACACAAATGTTTATGTTTATTAATGTACTGAATATTTGCTACTGTATCTCTTGCTTTTATGTGTGTATTTTCCATTCTGAGGACATTTTGTTTGTTTTCATTAAATCTTAAATTGTTTAATCTTTTTTTCCTCTTGAACAGTTTCTTTTTGCCATATTGGTATGAGAAAACTGTTTTTCTGTTCCACATTAGGAGGGAAACCGTGCGACTTTTTGCTGTTGCCTTGTTACTCTAAAGTTATTTTAGTGGGATTTGTGCAGATCGAAGAGCCTTTCTACTCCTTTTTCTGCCTTCTGCATCCCCGTTGAGTTTCATTTGTGCAAATTAAAACTTGAGACAAGCATAACAAAAAAGACATCTTTTATCATCATAGCAATAATGCTTGGCACAATCGTTGCTATGATAGCATAAAAAAGTAAGTGCTTTATTGTAGACAGAAGAGGTTAGAAAGCTGTTTAAAGGACAGGCACTAACAGAATGCCTCAGTTCATCTGACTTCATCCAGCATAGTGGTGGGATTCATAGGATAATTAGATTATGAAGACCTGAGTGCATAATCCATAATAATGATATGCCATATAGATATGTATATGCCAATATTATTATTATTATTGCTTATGCAACCGATAACTTCCCTTTCAACACCTTGGGAAAAATGACCACACTGCTATCTTTTCTGCTTCAGTTAAACTTCCCACAATCTTGTGACGCCGTCGCTGTCATATGACCAAACAGACCACGTGACAGACCTCCTCCTGTCTTCAGAAGAAAATGGTAACAAGATGGAAATGAACACCATTACCATTGACCTAGTTTTATTCATCTGACCAATACGATAAATGAAAAAGGACTAATATCAGCCGATATTAGTCTTGGAAAAGAATTACGTAAGGTTTAGCAAAGGTTCCCTGTAAAAAGAACTTTGTGCTATTGTCACATGATATCAAAATGGCCTCACATGTAGGAAAGTTCTTTCTGACAGTCACTAAGAACTTTTAGTTGCAATGTTCAGTTTTAGTGAAGGAGGCCTTGAAAAACATCCAGCAAATGCATCAAATTAGTGAGGGAGTGCATCTGCTGACATAATGAAGTAAATCCATTTTTCAATGGCTTTGTAATAAAAAAGGGAGAAAACAGGGACAGGGAGAAAAAGACAGGTGCAGTGATGTTTTACTTGAGTACTCCTTGGTCTGTGTGATCTGTGTGTACACAGGACAAAAAACCGGATTGTGACAGAGGCCCTAAAGGACACTGATAGACCTCTCAAATAATATGATGTGGGTCTCCCAATTAGCAGTACCAGGGTAGGTCTGGCTTAAAAAGATGAAATAGAAATAGTATACAAAATATATTTTATTTATACATTCTTTCACAATATTAAAAATAGACATTTTAATTTAAAACCAAATAAAGTACAGGACCCCAAAACAATACTGGAAGTAATCTGACACTTAAATTGTCATAATACTTTTAACTCGTTCATAAGTTGTCCACAAGCCTCATTTCTTTTCAGGAGAAACAGAACCTGTTTCCATCCTGACGCTCTGCTGCAGGTTCAGCTCAGAGTTAGAAAGCTTTGGGTTTCAATAAAGCTCAACGCCCACAACATGGCTGGAATCTTGAAACATTCATAAGCATGAAAGTTATTGGTAAAAGTTACTTTTCTGTATTTTCTCCCCTCCTCGTTCAACAAAACAAATAACTTTAAACCATTTTTATGTTACATCTCAGGAGGATTTTACAAAAAAATATTTATAGGCTATTCATTTCCAGGAGATCTTTATGTAAAAAATCAGACCATAAAGCATTCAAAACCCCTTTACAAAGACAAAACATACAGCTATATATATATATCTATCTATAGATATATATATGTAGCCTCTGTTTGGCAGTTTCAAGTGCTTCAGGTATGGGCATCTGCCTGTACTTTCTGGGTACTGATCTTTTCATTGTACCCTTGTGGAGCTCTGACAGTTGGCTCACTTCCCTCCTTGTTACCTTGATTTTAGCCTCTAACCGTCTTTTCCATGGTGGGTATTGAGTCTCATGGTTGCTCTTATAGCCAAGTATCTCAAGGATCACTGATGCTGAGTTGTAGATCAGCTCATTGGTTTCTGTTATGGTGTTGGTAGGGATTGTTGAGAATTCACATTCTCAATGAGACTTTCTGATGGTACTTCACTCAGCCTTGTAATTGGCGCGGAGGAGGTCTGGTTGTCATTCGGGTCATGATTCTCTCTCTCAGCTGTCTCGTTCAGCTCTGTTTCGCTCATTGGGGCCGTGTATCCCCTCACTGGGTGGGGACGTGTAGTTAAGTCCCCACAGTTCTGACATCCGGGTTCCTCCCTTTTGCCGTAGCATTTGTGTTGTATCTCGTCAATCTCAAGTTGTGATAGCAGTTGCCGTTTGCGGATGTTGGAACACTGAGCTACTAGTTGTTTAGCGCTTAGTGTTGACTGGGGATGTCGAAGTAACCATTCCTTCCCCAGTCTTTGCATGTAACCCCTCTGACTAGGGTTACTTGAGTAGTAGCATTCCAACAGATCCACATTTTCATCTCTCGCCCATTTCCGTCTTGTTCCAGTAGCCCATTTGTCATCAAGGTGCTCTGGTTCCCCAACACCTGACGCAGACCTTGTTTGGCCGGGCGACGTCTGAGCCGGCATGTTACGCAACTTAGTATCTCTCATGGTATGAGGTAGGCAGTAGCTTGAAGGGTCTTGCCTAAGGACCCAGACTGGATTCGAACCCTGCCCTCTCGGGTGATATACTGATGCCTTATGTATTGAGCTATCCAGTCTGCTATATATATATATATATATATATATATATATATATATATATATATATATATATATATATATATATATATATATATATATATATATGTATATATATATGTATAAATGACAAGGTGAGCTTAGTTCATTGATTTTAAGGCACTTAGGGGTCTAATACTCATTGCTACTTACATTTTCACAGTTGCCCTGACAAACCTTTGCCTAATGTGATAAGAAAAAGCAAGTAGAAAAATAAAAACTCAATTCTAGGACTTTTTCTTACCCCCATCCTGTTGTGGAAACAATAATAAATTCAAATATATTTGCATATGATTTTCATAACAAAATGGCAGGAATCTTTATAAAGACGTTCATAAAAAAAACATCTTTTTTATGAGTATGCTGCGACTGCATGTTTTCAATCTTGGTTTGGCATATTTGCAGGTTTCATACAAGAAGACATTTTTCTTTATATTAAAACTTAGAATTGCCTCCAACATGCAACTGCTTCTCATTAGCTGAGGGTTCAGAGCCTCTGTAAAAGGAGATGCATAAAAGACTGTCTGATTCATGTATTAAGACGTTCAAAGTGTAGGTGGCGCTACTAATCTGATTTCGTCCTCCGTTCAATATGAAGAAGAAGAACAAAAACTCTACCATGGAAACAAGGGACGCCAGTCTGCTGGTATGAGAGCGTGAATAGTTAAAACAAGATGAAACTGGATATATTGTGTTGTTCGGTCGATGATGAATTGTTCAGAGATTATAAGATTTCCGAATGAATCGACAGAAAGCGCAATGTGCAGCTAAAACTAGCTACAACCGGTTTAGCTGCAAGCTAGCTTAGAATGTTTCTTCTGTGGTGAAATCCAAAGGAGAGGAACATGTAAGGGGAAAAAACGACTGACGACGTAACGGGCAGCTCATGTGAACCAGCTGAAACATGTGGAAGGTAAGCGGTCGGAGTTCGGCTCTGAACCGGGCTGAGGCGCTGCTGTCAGCCAGGAGGAGCAGCACAGGAATCGCAGGAGGCTCCACACAGGACTCACCCACCAAAACACAGGTGTGCACTCACTCAGGAACGCTTTGAAAATGGGTTTTCATTGAAATAATATAGATTTTCATATTGGAAAGATATGGATTGTGAATCATGCAGTTATACTAGTAATTATTTGTAAACATGTCCTTTATATAATTCATAAATAATCTTTTGCTCTTGTCTGAATATGATCATGGCTACTTCCCTTTAGACATATCTAAGGGAACTTAAGAAGCAATATCACACACACAAAACTATTGGGTCTCAAAGTCTTGGATTACTATATGTAGATTGTTCTGTGTGTAAAGTATCAGCAGGAGCTGAAAGTAGAAAGACCAGTGGGCTCAGATCGTCACATCAGTGTAATGATGTAAGAATCATCATTACCTTCAGGTGTTTAAATTTACATTTAAGAGCAAACAAAATGAACCACATTACAGTTTGTAGGAATTAATTCCTACAAATTGCAGACTTTGGTGACATCATGTCACCAATAACAGAAAAAAAATTGCTGTTCACTTTTATGAAATAAAAAAGAAAAAGAAATGTGACTAAATATACCAACAAAGTTGCAAAGTTGGGAACAGTGCTGGTTACTATTAGAAAATGGTGAGTTTTTATGACATGACAGTCAAAATTCTTGTTTAACTATTGTTAACAGCAAAACTGCTTGGAATTAACTGATGACATTTATAACTCATTGAACTTTTTTAAATGGGCAGAAACTGGAAGCTAGTGCTATTAATTGAAGATCATCTTGTCAATTCACTGATCTTGCTGGTTCTGCTATCTGTAAAATGTCAATATTTTATTTATGACAGTAAAAATGAAAAAAAAAAAAGTAAAAATTTTATTCTACCGCTGTGCTGTAGAATGAAACATGGCTTATTGCCAGAGATTAGCACATAAAATAATTAGTTGCATCTCTCCTTGTGTCTAGGATGCCTCTTTCAGAACCGGACCTGTTCTTCCAAACAACCACAACTTGTTCTCTGACCTCAGTGACATCTCGTCAGAGACCTCTGCTTGTGAACAGGGTGCTGCATCTCCCAAACTTGCTAGTACACAAGAAAAACTTGAGAAAAAGGGAGATTCAACCCAGGTAAGTTATAATAATGTCATCATTAAATGCAGTTGGATGTTATGGGAAATATGAAGAGACATTTTTGGTTCCCCATGTGAAGATGTGTATAAATTTACCTCTTCAAATCCAGAAAAAAAACAGTAGTGTGTTGGGGACCAGCTGTAAATCAAGTCCT